TGAGATAGTAAAAGAGGGGTAAAATTAGAATAATAATAATTTTCAAACTTCAGCTTCTAATATTTATTAAACAGTTTGATTTAATTCTGTACTTAAATTTTAGTATGTACCAAACAGTTTGTAAATTAAAAAATTCAGCATTCAGTTCTTAAATTTCAGTATTCAGTACGAAATTTTCAGTCTTATCAAATGCCACCTTAGTCATTTGGAGGAATGTAAAGATTCCCAGGTGATATCGCTCAGAAAAAGTATCTTTCGTTATTAAACCATACTATTTAACTCCTACAAGCAATCACGAGGGCGGTTTTCCTAGTAAGAAATTTAGTAATCAAAGCCTCCTTGAAGGTGGATCTATTTTGCATGGTTAGTAGTTTTTGAAGACATCTTTACTGTGGATAACTACAAGAGAAGATAACACCTCATTCCACATTGGTGATGCATGTGTAGAGGGGTGGAAATGGTGAATCATTTGCTTTTTGATTGCGGTTGATTGGTGGATTTGCGGTCTTTGTTGCTTTCATTTGGGTCAGTTGATGATGCCTAGCTCAGTAGGGGCTAAAATGAATAGCTAGAAAGGAGCCAGGGCTCGTAAGAGATGTAAGGGCTTAAGATGTGATGCCTTTATGTCTTATATGTGTAATCAGTGGCCAGCTATATTATATTATAAGTGTCACGGGGTTAAATTTTTCACCAATTTCTGCCTCGTGATGGCTTTGAGATACTACACTCAGTCTCAGCCAAACCCTTACAATGCACACAAAATGCAAACAAGAATAGAGAAGGGACAGTAAGCAACACACACAGAACACACAAGCGCAACAGGCCATAGCCCAACCTTTTCTTTTTCAATAAAGTATAAAGGAACACTTAGCCTTGGGTCTGCTTACAAAAATGTGCCCAACACTCTGTTGGTGCACTACAAACCCAAACACCCTGTTTATAATGTTCAAGGTGGCGGTTACAAGCCCAACCGCCTATGTAAATTGCCTACAATTCAAATGCTCCCAGAAGTCTGCTGTCTGAGTCTCACAGAGATCCCACATGTTGTGCACTTGCCAGAAAACTACATAGAACTGCCATCAACTGCACAGAACTGCCACCATCTGGGTGGCACATGCCCAACTTCTTCACATATTGTGCATTTGCCAAGAGCCCTCAACATCCGAATTGTATTGCATTCATGCCTAGCCATGCTCAGCCCATGGCTTGATCTTCCAATCAACATTGCCCCACAAATTGAGTCCTCTGACTAGCCTTTGCTTGCAAGCCTACTTGTGCCCACGTGCCTATGCCTTGGCTGCTATGCCCAGCCACACATGGGGCTTCAATCCCACTGATTGAACCAAGTTGTGCCCATGCATGAGTCGCTTCACTCAACTCTGCATGGGTCTTCGATTACCAACTGATTATGCCCACCGTGCCTATGCATGAGCTGTCATCCTCAGCCATGCATAGGTCTTGAATCACCTACTGATTGTGCAAAGGGCTTGCTTCCTTAAGTGAAACCCAGTTTGGCTAAGCATGGGCGCCTTTCGGCGAGGTTGCCCCATGCCAACGCCGAGCCAGAAGCTAAGGGGGTAACAAACCACTCCCACCAGAAGAACTTGACGTCCTCGTCAAGAGGTTGTCCCGATTTCCTTTGCGCTGATCAGGATCACCATGCTTCTTCCTTCGATGGGTAGCCTTAACAAAGCTGTCCTTTGACTCATCAAGCAACTCTTGCTTATGACGAGTAACTCCATGTGCAGTGGACCATCTGGTCCTCTGTCTCGCCCCTCCACAGGCAAAAGACTGCTGCAGTCCCACAGTCACCATTCGATCAGGAACACAGACTAGAAGCTTTACATCATGCTCCAGTTTGTTCTTGTGGTCACCACCACATCTGGGCAGAAAGTCCTTGGGGAGATTTGAAGGCAAAGTCTCAACACTTTTCTCCACATGATCTGCCATCAACATTGGCATTTGAACCTTCTTAAAAGGTCTGTTCCCCACCAAGGCAGAAAGATAAGTTATCTTTCTTTCCAGCGTTTCAGCATCCATCTGCAAGGTGGACAGCATTTGCACTTTCTGCTTGTTGTCTCTCCTGCTTCGGTCTGCCACCTTCTTTGCAGGCGCAAAACATGCTGCTCCCTCATCTGAGATCAGCATTTCGTTTAAGCAAGGCATCAACGCCACTTTGGCTTTGACAAAGAACTCATTCCCTAGGATGACATCAAAGTCATCCATAGGTATAGCTGTCATGCTTATGCGGCCTTCCTACAGACCAACTTTCAGGTTCACCACTGCGTTTCCATGCACTGGAATTTCTCCTAAATTGACAACCTTGAGCGTGCTAGAGCTCTCGCCCAATTGTAAGCCAAAAGTTCCCACTTCCCTCTGCGCAATGATGTTATGAGTGGCACCCGTGTCCACCATTGCCAAAACTTCTTTCCCGTTCACCCAAGCCATCACAAACATCAGACCTTTATGGGCATGCTGAATTTTTCCCAAAAACATTGTATTCAGCAATTGTAGAGAATTAACCCGAGGGGTGTGATCATCGTCGCTGTCATCTCCGCTTTCAGCGACAAGAGTTGTTAACTTTTCCCGTTTGGGACAGTCCCTGGCACGATGAGGGCTGCTGCAAATAAAGCAACCATCAAAGCTCCTCTTTTTTTGATGGTTGTCTGAATTTTTAGAATCACCATTGTTCATCTTCTTCTTCCAATTTGCCTTCTCTGCGTCTTTGGAAGTACCAGACCAATCTTTCTTGCAGCCTCTTTCCTTTTTCTTTTTGAAAGGGCCTTGACTGTCGCCAATTTTGAAGTCAACTAGGCCATCCGCAGTAGTGATGGCAGTGGGCAAATCCCGCACCCCCCGCCTACGCAACTCAGCCTGTGCCCAGCCTTGCAAACCGGACATAAAATTGAAGAGTTTGTCCTCCTCAGAGATGTTCTTGATATCCAGCATCAAAGAACTAAACTTGGTCACATACTCATGCACGGTTCTAGTATGCTTGAGTTTCTTGTGTGATTTCCTAGCAATCCACACCGTATTGCTAGGAAGGAATTGATCCTTCAACTCCTTCTTCAATGTCTCCCACGTCTCAATTTTCGCCCGACCAGCAGATGCTTCATCCTCATTCCGGGTCCGCCACCATAATTTGGCATCACCAGATAGATACAGATCGGTAATGGTCACTTTCTCTCCCGCAGGCATATGAGCAGCCTTGAAATACTGCTCCATGTCCCACATAAAGTTTTCTAGTTCCTTGGCACTCCGACTTCCTCCAAGGCCTTAGGTTTAGGGACCTTGATCTTGAAAAATGTCTCACCTCCACCAAGACGAGAATGCATGACCCTTTTCACTAGGGTCAGTTCATCCTCCAGATTCTTCAAATTCGTTTTGACAGCGTCAGTGAGGGACAAGATGTCCTCCATCATCGTTGCTAACTTCTCATTGTTGCTAACCACATAATTGTCAAAGGTAGTTTGCAAACCAACAATCTGAATAGCATGTTGTTCCATCTGCACAGACACGCTAATTGCAGCATCGCTCTCTGGGGCTCCCAGAAAATCTTCGAGACTGGACACACGTTCTTGCAGTTCAGCTGCGTTTCCACCAGCCATGGTTGCAAATTAAAGCTCTGATACCAATTGTCACGGGGTTAAATTTCTTACCAAATTTTTGCCTCGTGATGGCACTGAGATCCTACACTCAGTCTCAGCCAAACCCTTAGAATGTACACAAAATGTAAACAAGAACAGAGAAGGGACAGTAAGCAACACATGCAGAACACACAAGCGTTACCGGCCACAACCCAACCTTTTATTTCTCAATAAAGTATAAAGGTTTACAAAAATGTGCCCAACACTCTGTTGGTGCACTACAGACCCAAGCACCCTAATTATAATGTTTAGGGTGGTGGTTATAAGCCCAACTGCCTGCAATTCAATTGCTCCCAAAAGTCTGCTGTCTGAGTCTCACAGAGATTCCACATGATGTGCACTTGCTAGAAAATTGCACAAAACTGCCACCAACTACACAGAATTGCAACCATCTGCATGGCACATGCCCAACTTCCTCACATGTTGTGCATGTGCCAGGAGTCCTCTACATCCGAATTGTATTGCATTCGTGTCTAGCCATGCCCAGCCCATGACTTGACCTTCCAAGCAACACTGCCCCACAAATCGAGTCCTCTGACTAGCCTTTGCTTGCAAGCCTACTTGTGCCCACGTGCCCATGCCCATGCCCATGCCTTGGCTGCTACGTCCAGCCACACATGGGGCTTCAATCCCACTGATTGAACCAAGTCGTGCCCATGCATGAGTTGCTTCACTCAACCCTGCATGGGTCTTCGATCACCAACTGATTATGCCCACCGTGCCTATGCATGAGCTGCCATCCTCAGCCATGCATAGGTCTTTAATCACCCACTGATTGTGCAAAGGGCTTGCTTCCTTAAGCGAAACCTAGTTTGGCTAAGCATGGGCGCCTTTGGGCGAGGCTGCCCCATGCCAACGCCAAGCCAGAAGCTAAGGGGGTAACACTAAGTCAGTTGAAGATTCAAGGCTTTAAAGCTTAGTTGCTTTCATTTATTACTGGTTAAAGGAACTATATATGTTACTTGGGTTGCTACAAATGGTCCTCCAACATCTGGTGGACTTTCATAGCTACTCTGGTATGATTTCTGAGATATTCGAGAAAGAAAATTGATCCTCTCGCATGTGATACCATATAACAGTAGATTATAGATTCTGGGAATGTTTTATTTTATTATTTATTTTTCCTTTTTTGGTATCGTAACATAAACATTAGCATGATAAGTGGGAATACTGTCCTAAAATATTCATGCCCTAGCATTTTAAAAGACTTTTCACAGCTTTGCCATCTGTCTATTTGTAGTTCTTGCATTGTAAGGATACTTCATTTTCATGACACTGGCTAAGCTGCTAAATCAATGTTCATTCTTGGTTGTCATTCTATGTTTTTGTATCATGTATTGCTGGTATACTTAGATGTGGTCTTTGATGGATGTTGAATCAGTTCTCACTTGTCTGTTTCAAATTGAGGTGTTGCACAGATAGATTCATAAACTGCTTAATGAGTATTTAAAGACTAAAGATGCTTACATTCTGCTTCTGTACTCCTAGAAGGATTTTTCTGTGCGAACACATCGCAGTTAAATATTACTATATATTTTTAATTATATTCTTCTTTAGCACCGAAGTAACTTGTCAAGTCAACATGGTCTTATTAGGTGTATCCCATTTAAGTACAGAGATTATGGTGAAAGTATTGCTGTGCAGTCTGAGAGAGCTGTTGAGGTGCTTATGATCAACTCTACTGGTGGACCAGGTCTAGTGTTTCCAAAGGTATGAAGTTACATTTCATTTATCATGCTCAATGCTTACAGTGATTAAGTACTGTTTTTGTTGTATACGTGTAAATGTGTCTGAGTTGTTTCAAAAGGTATGAAGTAACATTTCATTAGTGATGAAGTACTGTTTTTGTTGTATACAAGTAAATGTGTCTCTGTTTATCGCTCATGCTATTGCTTCGCCCTCCTTGTCTATGGCACCAATGTTGATTCTTTGGTTTGATAATTATGAATCCAATGCCTACAATAGCAATATGATGTGCAGTGTAGTTTTTGGGTTTTTAGTTCTTGTGCTTCTGTTACCTACTATTGAATATGGCCAAGCAGACCACAATCAGGGCAGCTGATATTCCTTCATAACATTAAGATTCATTTGTTTGTGTTACCATTTTGACATGAGATTATTCTAAACCTATTTGCGGTGGCAACTGATGGGTCTGTTCCAAGTTGTAATACATTGCTGAATATAACCGCTGTATATTTAAAAGTAGTTTGCTGGATCAACTTGTGAAATGCCAATAGCTCGAGGGTATATTTGGGCAACTGCTGATTGTTTTAAGCCATAACTAGTTTGAGTAGTTTTTTCTCTGTTGTTGTGTTTTGTTTTCTTGGTTCTTTTCTTTTTCAAAATTGTTTGTTTTATGTTTTGGCCTTTAAGTCAGTAGTTCCTTTTATTTCTTTTTCTTTTCTAAAGGAAAACATGGATTATGCATGCTTTATCAGAAACGGTTCTTGAGCATAATGGCCAGTGATGTGATGATCCCACATGGGTGTAGTGCTTGTGTCAATGATGGTTTTGATAGTAATACCGAGGAGATGACTTGTATGGGATTGATACTTCACTTGATTGGAGCCATGATCACTTTCTAAATGCTATTAATCTGTAGTGTAGTGTTAAATTTAATTTCATTGATGTAGAATGGAGTTAAAAACATTGTTTGTCAAATTATTGAAAGTTGTAAGGTGATAATGCAAGAATGCATATATTTCATAAATGTATGTTGGGATGGTGTTATCGGATAAGTCCTAGAAATCTTTCCAATTGCTTACATATTTTGGAGGATGGCAGAAAGTCCTCTGAAATGTTTGAGATGAACTGAAAAGTAGAGCTGAATGGTGATTTTGCAGAATGCTGCAATTAAGGGTGCGTTTGGTAACATTTTCATTTTTATGTTTTCAAAAAAATAAAAAACAGAATCAATGTTTTTTTTTTTGTGGTTAAAAGTTAAAACAAAAAACACGTTTGGATGTAGTTGTTGTTGTACGAAATCTAAAAACTAAAACAGAAAATATGTTTGGTAACCATTTTATTTTATATCATATATTTTACATTAATTATAATTCTTGATAAACCATATCTACATGATTATATGCCAATACATACATTAACTCATAAAACAGTGCATAATACATTTTTTTTTCAAATAAATCAACACTTTATTTCATTCAAAAAAATTTTACAATGGAAAGGCAAACAAACTTGCCTTTGAAAAATTGAAACAAGGATCATTTACAACCACTCAAAGAATTACATATTTCTTCCTTGGCACCTGGATCCCTTGCTGATCCTGCTTTTGGAGTAATCTGGCCTGAAGAGGAATTCTCAACTCATGAGAAAAGTCCGAAGAAAAGTCATTCTTTACTGCCAAATTAGCGAAAAAATCAACCAAAATTGCCAAAAACACCACCAATGAAACTCTTCTCAACAGATTTTTCAGACATAAAAATCTGAAAACCACAAAAATCAGCTACTTTCCTCCATACTTCCTTAGAAAACTGACACTGTACAAATAAGTGTGTAACACTTTCCAAATCATTACAACATAACGAACACCTACTAGCCAAAGCCACTCCAATCCTCTGAAAATTCGAATCCACCACCACTGCATTTCGATGAATCTTCCAACCCACCAACATTGCACTAGGAAAAACTTACTGTTCCCAATTTCTGCCATTGCTACTCCCCTCTTTCCCATACCCTAAGATAGACTTGGAAAGCATGAAGGATTCTCTCCAATCCTATTTAACAGAGGACCAGCACCAAGCCAGTTGGAACACCAAAAGTCCACTGACCTTCCATTCTCTCCAATTCTATTTATCACTGGCTTGCTCCATGTCCCCTTAACTGGTTGTAACAATGAAAGCAAAAATTAAAAAGACCACATAAAGAACCCCCATGTGAATATGCAAGTAATACATTACACCACTATGCATTTAACCCAATAACAAAGCAATTAATTGTCAATGGATGAAAATGTTAGGACATGAGTGGACAAATATTCGAAATTATTATCAAAGGGCACGTAAAAATAATTTCTAAGCAAGCAACAGTACATGTTTAGAATTCTAATACATTAAATGCGACTTTGGGATAATATTAATGTAAGACTTTGGTTACGAAGTAATATTTTAAATAATGGTTAAGTAATATGGATAATTCTTGGAATCTCAAGGGTTCATATGTACATTCATTCAAGTAAGTAAAACCATTTGGTGTGTTATCCTCTAGTATACTCTTTCTCAAAAACTTCAAGTTGCATTTTTTCATCTACATAATTTTATTCTTCCCAAATCTTGCCAAATTCTCTTCCCTAAATGTGTTTTAGAACTATTGAGTTTGTAGTCACTGATTAGTTGGGAAATTTATGTGTTTTATATGAGATGCCCATAGTTCAAAAAAAAGAGTGAGATGCCCATAGTTCCAAAAAAAGAGTGAGATGCCCACAGACAAATACTCGATTAAACTTTTTCGAGACCGATTAAAATGTCTATCCAGTTATTTTCATACCTTCTAAAGCATGTCCACATATCTCGACCTCACAATTAGATCGTTGGTACCTTATTACCTTATAAACCATGGTTAATAAATCCACATTGATTTTAAGTTTTCACTTCAGTTTGTTCAAATGATTTTGATGCAGGGTCCGAATCTTTGTATGTGTCTTAAGGAGCTATCACCGAAAACATTTTGCACTACTCTACTCTCTCTCTAAACAACAGACCAATCAAGATAATATTTAACTATTAATTGGACTTAATCTGCTATTATTATTCGATTGATAGTAACATGTTATGATATTAGAATCTATTGTTTAATCTTAGAATTTGACCCTTGGTATGTCTTGCATGCTTGCTTCATCATCGTAGTAATAAGAATTGAACCTTTGAATTGCATAGCCCCCAAAAAAAAAAAAAAATCTTAGAATAACGGTGGATTAGATTTCCAAATTAATCTAAGGAATATCAATTGATCGACACCAAATAATCCTTAAAATTTCACCAAAACTGAAGAAACAATGTGTCGTAAACTCCAGATCTGATGGAAAGTTAGATCTACAAAAATAAACCTTAGATCTGAAATAATAGAGTATAGATCTTTAAAAATAAAGAATGGATCTACAAAAATAAGCCCTAGATCTGAACAAAATCATCATAGATCTAAAATAAATGAAAAATTTTGCGGAGAAAAGGGAACTTACCGCTTCGTCGGAGATGGAGATGTCGCTGAAGCTGGAGGCATTTGTTCGCCAGAGTTGGAGACGTCTATGGAGTTGGAGAGGTATGAGCAAACGAGACAAATGCATTTTAGATGCATTTTTCTTGGCATTTTATATGGTAAGGAAAAAAATATGCAATTTTGCTTAGGAGAAGATTCGAAGTCCAGACCTCATAGATGTTTTCATATTTTGCCATTGTTTTCAAAATTGAGTAGTAAAAAAAAAAGAAAACATTCACAAAACACATTTTTTTTTTGTCATAAAAAATAAAAAAAACGAAAACAATAGGTTTCCAAACACTACCTAATATGCTGGTTCGATAAGGGACCGAGACCATGATGAGAAAGTCGGAATTGGTTAAGGAAATTACGAGTAATATCGTTTTTGGCTCTTAATTGAGTTAGAGTCCAAAAAAAAAAAAACAAAACACAAACAACAAAAAAAGATTTGGGCAAACTTCATTTTACCCCTTGTGGTTTGTCTATGCTGCACATCATTTCCCCGACATTTGGAAAAATCCATATAACCCTCATGTGGTTATTGCACTAAAGTACACTGTTACAAATTCTGTCAAACTTAACGAAAATTGTGTCTCACGGGTTAATTGGCAACTTGGAATGTATAAACCCATTTGTTGAAGACTAAATACCCTTGTAATTTTTCTAAAATTACAAAATGTTAGACACACCCAAATCACTTAGGTTGGGAGGAACCCAAACACAACCCTTCTCCCCCAATTTTGTGACCCGCATCACCCTCCTCCCCCACCACATACTAAGCTCTACAACTTAAGAGACATTTAATGTAAGATTTCCTCAATATACAAATCCTCCAACCTTCAACATGGGATTTCCTCGTTACTCAAACTTAGAGATGCAATGAATGCCGACTCGATTGCAAGTTAGTTTGCGAAATGGCAAATTAGTGTCCATAGCACTAACACGGACCCTGTTTCATTTTTTATTGCATAAGTGATCTGCTTCAGGTCTACCAGATCGGTGGTTTCTATATTTTGCGTTATTATGCAACTTGGATTTCTGCAATTTGAACCCACCAATGGCTAATTGTTTTTTTTCTTGATTAAATTGATGATTAAATAGGAGATTAATGGTGAGGTGAATTTGATGATGGTGTGGACCATAGAGGTTGGTTTTTGTTATAGTTCATGGAGTTGGTGGTGCTGTGGTGGGGGGAACACAAGGGTTGTGCATTGGTGGCATGGGTTATTGTCTGCAGTGGTGTGGTGTGGTGTGTTTGCTAAACAAGCTGAAGTTGAAAATGGAGTGTATCAGGAAGATTGATTGGCCATGTCCAATTGTGAAATTTTGTAGAGGCTAGAGGGTACCGGTTGGGTAGTTTGTTGAATAAGTAGAATGAGAGAACTGGACAGCTTGGGACTACGCCAGTCAACTAATCAGGTTGCATTGGATTTGATTGATCCGAATTCGATTCGATAATCTGATGAATTTTATTTTTTGTTGTTCATAGTCGAATTCGTTAACAATCCGAAAATCTAATTTGATCAGAATAACTCAATTTAACTAAATTTTTACAAATTACATCTACATTTTAACTAAATTTTTTCAAATAACCACTTAATTTCTTTAATATTTATACAAAAAAATATATAAATATTTCAGATTGGATCATAATCGGATCGAATATTGGTATATCCAAATCAAATTTCGTGAAACTATAAGATATCGAATTTGAAAAAAAATATCAATCCAAAGCTGACTAATCGGATTTGGATTTGAATCGGATCAAATATATGTATATTCAAATCAAATTTTGTGAAATATAAGATATCAGATTCTGGTTTAGATTCGAAAAAAATATCAATTCGTATCTGATTAATCGGATTAGGGTTTGGATCGGATTCAGATCAAAATCTAATCAATTGATAGGCCTACTTGGGTTGATAGGGGTATTTAGGCACGACTCGACGTCAAGACACTACGAAAAAATCCCGAGTCGCTTTTGAATCAGTTTTGACTTGGGCCAACTTGGTAAAACTCTGTTGAATTGCGATTTGCATCCGATTCGAACCGAGTTGGTTCAATTAACAACAGTAGACCAAAGCCAAAAAAGAAAAAGAAAAAAAGAAAGATGGACTGACAAGAAATAAAGCAGATCTGCTTTTTAGGAGCATGGTTCAAGGTCGTGGTATCGGTTGTTGACTTGAGGGCCCTCGAAGCACATTGTTCGAGGCATTGTGGTGCGGTATCAGTCGGTACGCTCAAAATGGTATATAAAAGGTTCACAATTTGGAAAACTGAATAATAAGGGAGGTACCAAAAATATTGGTCACAATTTATGTTCAATATAAGCATTTAAGATCATACTGAGCAAAAATCATTGCTACATTGAATG